TACCAGATATCAATATAAAAATTGATATATGATCAATAAGTCGAACTAAATATTCTGCACGTTCATTTTTCCATGTAGTAGTATGGTATGTAGAACTTACACCAAAGAGAATAAGCTGCGATATAAGGTAAATTAAAATAGCTTTGTTTCCTCTAATCAGTGTCCATGTTAAAATGTACAATATTGATTTAGATATTGTAAGGTAAAAAGCAGCAAGATGTATTTTTCCTCTAAAGTACGGTTTCTTTTCTTCCATAGAAAGGGTAATAATTGAAAGGTAAACAATAAAAATTTTGCGTCATAATATGTGTTGATATTTAAAAAAAATAACATTGTAATAAAATTGATTGTTATCTAAAAACATTTTACAAATTCTTTGCTATGTAGGTTTATGTATTACATTATTTTCTATATAAAAACTAGCTTACGTCACCTGTTTAAAACGGAATTACAATACGATGTATGCTTCCTTTTATTTTAATTGTATATAATGTCCTTAGTCGTGCGTATGTATTATTTAAAATTAAAAAATTAAACTTTCTTAATCAGAATTAAAATATGCAACAGCATATATTTTTCAAATTGGATAATTAAATAAACAAACTATAGGAAAATGTCTAAAATATAAAGGTGTACATAATATGTTCAACTTTGAGAAATTGTTATTTCTTATAAAAAATATGTCACAAAACTTTGTAAGAAAAAAGGCTTAAAAATAAATAAATACTCAGATTCAGACTTTATATATATATTGACTAGCTTGCGCTATCCCGTTGAAAATAATATACAAATATTATGTGTCTTTGTGTATGTACTAATTTTATTATTTTTAATTACAAATTGCCCTTTTTATTATAAAGGAAAATTTGCTATAGATACCTTGTATAAGATTAATATAACTAAATAAAAGCAAAGATAAATGCACAAAAACACCGTTTCGTGCTTAGAGGAATAAACTCTTAAATGGTGCTACTCGTTCTTAATACAAAATAATAGGAATTTTACAAATTTTTAAAAAAGAAGAGTCAAAAAATAAAAAATGTTTAGATTCAAGCTTTTTATATATATTGATTAAATAAGGTACAAGATCCTATAAAAACATACACATACCAAGTAAAAATTTGTCGTGCAAATTCTGCTTTCTCACACCCTCAGAATGAAAAAACAAAACACAAAAACCAAAAATGTTAACGCCTGAACAGATATGGAAAAATACATCAATGATTCCAGCCTTAAAAAAAGAAAACACAAACAGAAAAAATTCTTAACCGTTTGACTTCTCGAATATAAAATCAAGATTAAATGTTTTTTTGGCAAAACATGTAGAATAATTAAACACACGTTATAATGATTTGCAAAAGTCTAAGGAATACTTTTTCGAAACAGAATTAAAAAAAATTGCTATTTCATATTCCGGATTTCAGTACACTGGAACTAGTAAAAGCAACTAGAATATGTGAAGTACCTGTATATTTACGATAATTTACCACTTAGTATTTTTGACAGTCCAGATGTAGATAAAAACCTAAAAATTATTACACTATTTTTTATATTTTACAAAAACTTAATACTGCTCGCCAATACCGCAGCGATTCAATGAGAAAGTTCGGCTGATAATTTCATACAAAATATTTGACATGGTTTCAAAGACTAGAAGAACCAAAATTAATAACAACCAATTATGAAAGGGGAGATTTTTTATTTTTTGACTATGATGAAATATGGAGTTATTATATGAAAAAAATAGATTTTACAATTGAGTAAAAATATTTAGAATGCACAGAACTATAAAATGTTATTATTTTTTTAACTTGAAATTTTTCTTATGTTTGTGTAATTTTCTATGTCTCTTTTTTGCTACTGAATTATTTTCTTCAGTAAGCTCTTCTACAAACTTATCAAATAAAATCGTGTTGATCTTGTCAGTTTTTGTTGCTTGCCCTTCAGTTTTCGAGTTTTTATATAAATTTACATCTCGTAAACTTGCTAGCTTTTTAGATTTCTTTTTTACTGATATTATTTTTTTTTTATAATTATCGACAATATATTGTCTTTTTTCTAACTCTCTAATGTTGAAATAAAACATTTCTTCAAATAACTCTTCAATACTGCTTTTTTCAAAGTGATATAATATTAATCGATAAAAATTTTGTAATGTCTCAATAACTTTATCCATATTTTTACAACAAGACCCAACATCTATTATTG